AACGCGTAGATGATGTAAACAAAGAAAAAAAAACAAAAATACTTATCGTTCGGAAACCCGTGATCACCCTCTGTAATGTAAAAAAAAACTTTCCCTTTATTCTCTCGAGACAGTCGATTTTCATGTTCCATAGCTAAAACTGTTGATTCTTAGCTGATCAATATGCATATTTCCTTAAAAACCTTTTATTATTTTTTTTAAATGAGAATAAAAAGGACAGCACTGGAGTAGCAGTTAAAATGGAGAATTTCTCGAGCCCTAACCAAAAAATTTCCTCCTCCACTTCAGACCTCTTTAATGCTAATATTTTTTGAAATAAATTATTATGTTTATTAATAGACTTTTATTTTTAACCAATTTCCGCCCACAAATCCTGAAAATTAAATGTTATTATTAATTCAGTGTTACATATTATCCTAATTAAAGAAAGATAGCAAGTACAAAACTAATATATTAGAATTTGTGGAGATTGGTGTGAAAGTTAACAGAAGTAATTATCCTGAAATATTGTATTAATCCTGTTATTAGGATGCTAGTGATTTGATCTGGACAATAAAGTTTTGGGATTATGATTAAAATAATATGTTTATATTTCTCCAATGCGCTAATTCGTTCTAAGTTAGTCTGAAGATTCTTCACTTTAGACCTTGACCAATTTTTATTTAAAATAAAGTGATGTAACCATGTAATACAAGTAAACACAATTCTTGAATCTAACTTCTAGTAAATTATGAAAAATGAATATCACTCGAGAATCAATTAATAAATTTATAATCTATTAACCAATATTTTTTTTTAGAGATCATGAATTTTTTATTTATCATTAATATATTTTCATTAAGAAATGAAAGGATTTCAGACCTATACCGATATTACAGTACTTTAGATTATCTTATATGCGAAAAATTATTGTGAGTTTTTTTTTGGTGGGAATTCACAATTTTGCGAGGTATCTGGCACTATATACTGCGCAAAACTTCGTGGAAAGACTCGGATAAAAATGTTACTGTGCCAACTTCGTGGATTAATACCACAAAATGTAATCCTGATTAAAGGTTTCGAATCAGAGAAATATACTTTCATCATGATTGGAGGGAGGGTTTGAGGAGTTGTCCATGTTTGAATTATTTATATAGAAAATATTGTATCCCTTTCCCGAATCGTCGTGACGAAGAAATTAAAAAAAATAATAATTGTAACCGAACATTACACCCCTTCCAACTCTTAAACTAATTTATCTTATTTGATTTTTAACATTAACATTATCAATTCAATCAGGTTATTAAAAATATATTCGTTATATTATTTATGTCGTTGTCGTCACAATTGTAGATCACGATCTCTCATCTCAAAATCTTTTTTTATAAAAAATTACCATATGTAACAATATTATCATGTGATATGGTGTAATATTTTGTCAGGAATCACTATTTTAGCATTAAACATATTTCCTGCCGAGGAGTTTGGTTAAGGATAATTACACAGGATTATATCCATCAGCACTTGAATAAATTCGAAAGTAAATGTCTCATTTATCTCATATAATAAGAATATAACAAATAATTTAAGAGAACAATCGAACAATATCCTGGATATAAGACAACTAGGTCCTAGACTCTCAGTAAAAGCTCATACTTGAAGAATCGGGAAAATCGATCGTATCATAGTTTCTTGATCAGTCGATCCGTCACGACTTAAACGTTCTTCGTTTTTGTAAATACTCGGAACGATATATTAAATAATGTGTAAAGCCATCATTTTATCAATCATTTCTAATGAATAGATCAATTTTTGTTGAAAAAATTTTTTTTTATTTTATTTTATAAATTAAACTTAGCAACAACAATAATAATTCCAAATTACATTTTACTTTTTATCCAAGTTTTACTTAGAAAGAAATGAAGATTTGAATTTTTTTTAAAAAAAAATGACATTAAAAACCTATCTATAGATATTATAGATATGATCGGTCACGTGCCGTTGATTTTTGGTTACGCTGAATAAACACATCAATCATTTTGAATACTCGGAATTTGAAGATCTTCAACTAATAGGAAATGGTGCATTTGGAGAAGTTTTGCATGCTTATTGGAAAAATCAGGGCTGTTATGTTGCTTTGAAATCTTTTAATACTAATAAAACGACACTGAAGAATATTGCAAAAGAGGTACGAATATATATTATAGTTATTTTAAATAAGATTTATTAATCAGATAGAATAAATTTGTTCTAAATGCCATACAGATAAAATTACATAAAGAAGTTGATTTTCATTCAAATATTATACGAATTTTTGGAATAACAAGCGAAGAAACCGGTATGTTTTAGAAATATAATGTAAAAATTATTTAATATTACTAATATTCTTAATTTATACAGCAAATGCAATGAAAAAACACTCGCTAGTCTTGGAATATGCCGATAGTAGCACTTTGTATACATATTTAAAAGAGAATTTCAAAGAACTTGATTGGAGTGACAAATTCAGCTAGCTTTGAAACTGGCAAGTGCTGTAGAATTTTTGCATTATCGTGCTATTGTCCACATTTGTAAATGATTCTTTATCTTATTAAAGTTCTTTTATTAACTCATATTAATGTAAATTAGCATGCAAGAAATATACTCATACATCAAGGATCAATTAAATTAGCAGATTTTGGTTTATCGAGAAATACCACTGAATCGTCAAGTAATGAACCAAATTTGATGGGAGTATTGCCCTATATGGATCCAAAAATTTTAAATTATCGAGATAATAAGAAATACAAATATAGTATCGGAGTTTTGATGTTGCTTATTTCAAGTGGAAAAAGACCATTTTATGACGAAGATACTGAAAATGATGAGAGAATATTAAATTAAAGAATAATCAATGGAGAAAGAGAAGCAATCATTTGTGGAACTCCTATAGAATATAATAATCTATATGAACGTAAATATGTTTTATATTAATTAAATATTATTTTTTCAAAAATAAGGAATTCTAATCTTGGTTTATTAATTAGAATGTTGGAAATATGAACCGGATGAACATCCTAATATACAGGATGTTATTCTTGCCCAAGAATGACGCAAGAGGATTACAAAGATATCGCATAACTAAATTCTTTTGCAATGCTAGTATTACTAGCTTACCGACTTTACCCAAATTCTCAACAGAACTTTGTTGCTCTTATACTCCAATAGCTATCCTACCAACTTTACCCAACTCCTTAAAGAAACTTTATTGCTCTGATACTTATATATCTATACTACCAACTTTACCCAATTCCTTAACGAAACTTTATTGTATTGTTATAATACTCAAATTAATAGCTTACCAAATTTACCCTATTACTTAACGAGTATCAAATTTAAGCCTTAGAAACT